TCCCCAGAGACCCCTCACCCGGCGCGGAGATGCAGCCACCTCTGGGGCGGGGCGGCCGGTTCCCCAGAGACCCCTCACCCGGCGCGGAGATGCAGCCACCTCTGGGGCGGGGCGGCCGGTTCCCCAGGGACCCCTCACCCGGTGCGGAGATGCAGCCACCTCTGGGGCGGGGCGGCCGGTTCCCCAGGGACCCCTCGCCCGGCGCTGAGATGCAGCCACCTCTGGGGCGGGGCGGCCGGTTCCCCAGGGACCCCTCGCCTGGCGCTGAGATGCAGCCACCTCTGGGGTGGGGCGGCCGGTTCCCCAGAGACCCCTCGCCTGGCGCTGAGATGTGGCCACCTCTGGGGCGGGGCGGCCGGTTACCCAGGGACCCCTCACCCAGTGCCAGGGCTGACCCTAAGGAGAGGGCGCCCCCTGCTGACCCCCCATGTGGCTGCAGGTCCCAGACGTACAGCGCTAACGAGGTTGAACTGCAGCTGTCAATCAATGAGGAGACGTCCCGCCCCTTTGACGAGATCGATATAGACCCTGCCGCCTTCACAGGTATGGGGGGGTGGGAAAGAGGGTGTCTGCCAGCCCCCCCCTGAACAGACCCCCAAGGGGGCAGGGGGTGTCTGCCACAGCTCCTCCCAGGGGCAAATGTCTGCCAGGTCCCCCCCAGTGGGGGTGCTCCCCACAGCACCCACTGCCTCCCGCCCTGCAGAGAACGGGGAGTGGGCGATCCGGCACCGGCCGGCCTGGAAGGTGCTGCACCCGGAGCTGGGCCGGGAGGCGCTCGGCTTCCAGGAGATCCGCTTCTCGCTCATCATCCAGCGCAAGCCCCTCTTCTACGTCATCAACATCATCGTGCCCTGCGTGCTCATCTCCTCCGTCGTCGTGCTGGTCTACTTCCTGCCTGCCCAAGGTGAGCCCGGCCACGGGAAACCCCGCCCAGCCCGGTCAGCCACCGGGACGCCCCTCCTGGCCACAGGGACGCCCCACCTGCCCCGCCCGGCCACGGGGATGCCCCTCCTGGCCTCAAGGGATACCCTAGCCGGCCACAGGGAAACCCTGCCCGGCCACAGGACAAGGAGAGGTGCTCCCTACCACACCCATGTGGGGGACACATTTGCTGGCACTAGGAGCAAACGATAGGGGCATGAACCCCAATCTCTCCTGGTGGCCCCTCTCTGGGGGGCCCCAGGGCAGAAAGCCCCAGGCCCTGGGCAGGAGGGGACATAGCAGGATATCGGAGGGAAGCCAAACGGCTCCATGTCACCCCTGTTCTCTGCCCCTGGCAGCCGGTGGCCAGAAATGCACCCTCTCCATCTCAGTGCTGCTGGCTCAGACTGTCTTCCTCTTCCTCATCGCCCAAAAAATCCCAGAGACCTCACTCAGCGTCCCCCTCATCGGCAAGTGAGTGACACCCCCCATCCCGCTTCCCTGGGAACCAGGACTCCTGGGTTCTCTCCCTGGCTCTGGGAGGGGAGTGGGGGCTGGTGGTTACAGCAGGGGGGTCTGGGAGCCAGGACTCCTGGGTTCTCTCCCCGGCTCTTGGAGGGGTGTGGGGGCTGGTGGGTTAGAGCAGGGGAGGCTGGGAGCCAGGACTCCTGGGTTCTCTCCCCAGCTCTGGGAGGGGTGTGGGGGCTGGTGGGTTAGAGCAGGGGAGGCTGGGAGCCAGGACTCCTGGGTTCTCTCCCAGCTCTGGGAGGGGAGTGGGGGCTGGTGGGTTAGAGCAGGGGAGGCTAGGAGCCAGGACTCCCGAGATCTCTCCCCGGCAGGTACCTGATGTTTGTCATGGGGGTGGCGACGCTGATCGTGATGAATTGTGTCATTGTGCTGAATGTTTCCCTGCGAACGCCGAACACCCACTGCATGTCTGAGCAACTCAAACATGTGAGTGTCAGGGGCAGAGCACAGTGGGGAGATGAGAGGGATCTGGGGGGGGGGAAGTGCCAGGGGGCTGGGGGTGGAGGGAGTGCTCGGGGGCAGTGGGGCTGGAGAACTGGGGATCAGTGCCAGGGGGAATGTGGGGTGAAGGGCACCAGTCTTGGAGGGAAATTGGAGAACCAAGAACCAACCAAAGGGGGAATAGGGATTGGGGAGAGAACCGATCCTGGCTGGGGGAGTGGGGGCTTAGGGCAGGGAAGAGTCCAAGGGCTAAGCCCGGACCCTTAGATCCAGTATCTTAGATGTCTGTAGACTAATGTGAGAAGGATAGGGAATAAGCAGGAAGAACACGAAATGCTAGTCAATAAACACAACTATGACCTAGTTGGCGTCACGGAGACTTGGTGAGATAATACGCACAACTGGAATATTGGTACAGATGGGTACAGCGTGCTCAGGGACAGGCAGGGGAAAAAGGGAGGTGTTGCCGCCTTATATATTAAAAATGCGTACACTTGGACTGAGGTTGAGCTGGAAATAGGAGACAGACTTGTTGAAAGTCTCTGGGTAAGGATGAAAGGGGTAAAAAACAAGGGTGATGTCATGGTAGGGGTCTACTACAGATCCCTAACCAGGAAGACAAGGTGGGTGACGCTTTTTTTTAAACTAATAAAATCATCCAAACCACAGAACTTGGTGGTGATGGGGGACTTCAACTCCCCAGACATCTGTTGGGAAAATAACACAGCAGGGCACAGATTATTCAACAAGTTCTTGGAATGTATCGGAGACGATTTTTTATTTCAGAAGGTGGAGAAAGCTACTAGGGGAGAGGCTGGTCTAGATTTGATTTTGACAAATAGGGAGGAAGTGGTTGAGAATTTGAAAGCGGAAGGCAGCTTGGGTGAAAGCGATCGTGAAATAATAGAGTTCATGATGCTAAGGAATGGTAGGAGGGAGAACAGCAAAATGAAGACAATGGATTTCAAGAAGGCAGACGTTAGCAAACTCAGGGAGTTGGTAGGTAAGATCCCATGGGAAGCAAGTCTATGGGGAAAAACAGTTGAAGTTTTCAGTTGGCAGTTTTTCAAAGAGACGTCATTAAGGGCACAAGAGGAAACTATCCCACTGCGTAGGAAAGATAGGAAGTATGGCAAGTATGGCTTAACCAGGGGATCTTCAATAATCTAAAACTCGAAAAACAGTCCTGCAAAAATTGAAAACTCAGCCAAATTACAAAGGATGAATATAAACAAATAAAACTAATATGTAGGGACAAAATTAGAAAGGCCAAGGCACATAACAAGATCAAACTAGCTAGGGACATAAAAGGAAACAAGAAAACATTCTACAAATACATTAGAAGCAAGAGGAAGACCAAGGAGAGGGTAGGCCCGTTACTCAATGAGGGGGGAAAGACAATAACAGAAAATGTGGAAATGGCAGAGGTGCTTAATGACGTCTTTGTTTCGGTTTTCACCAAGAAGGTTGGTGGCGACTGGACGTCTAACATAGTGAATGCCAGTGAAAATGAGGTAGGATCAGAGGCTAAAATAGGGAGAGAACAAGTCAAAAATTACTTAGACAAGTTAGATGTCTTCAAATCACCAGGGCCTGATGAAATGCATCCTAGAATACTCAAGGAGCTGACTGAGGAGACATCTGAGCTATTAGCGATTATCTTTGAAAAGTCATGGAAGATGGGAGAGATTCCAGAGGACTGGAAAAGGGCAAATCTAGTGCCCATCTCTAAAAAGGGAAATAAGAACAACCCAGGGAATTACAGACCGGTCAGCTTAACTTCTGTACTCGGAAAGATAATGGAGCAAATAATTAAGCAACCAATTTGCAAACACCTAACATAAGAACATAAGAATGGCCCTACTGGGTCAGACCAAGAGTCCATCTAACCCAGTATCCTGTCTACCGAGGGTGGCCAGTGCCAGGTGCCCCAGAGGGAATGAACAGAACAGGGAATCATCAAGCGATCGATCCCCTGTCACCCACTCCCAGCTTCTGGCAAACAGAGGCCAGGGACACCATTCCCGCCCATCCTGCTAATAGCCATTGATGGACCTATCCTCCATGAACGTATCTAGTTCTTCGTTGAACCCTGGTATAGTCTTGGCCTTCGCAACATCCTCTGGTGAGGAGTTGCACAGGTTAACAGTGAGTTGTGTGAAGAAATACTTCCTGTTGTTTTAAACCTGCTGCCTATTAATTTCATTTGGTGACTCCTAGTTCTTGTGTTATGAGAAGTAGTAAACAACACTTCCTAATCTACTTTCTTCACACCAATCATTGTTTTATACACCTCAATCATATCCCCCCTTAGCCATCTCTTTTCCAAGCTGAAAAGTCGCAGTCTTATTAATCTCTCCTCATACGGAAGCCGTTCCAGACCCCTCATCATTTTTGTTGCCCTTTTCTGAACCTTTTCCAATTCCAATCTATCTTTTTTGAGATGGAGCGACCACATCTGCACGCAGTATTCAAGATGTTGGCGTACCATGGATTTATAGAGGCAACATGATATTTTCTGTCCTATTATCTATCCCTTTCTTAATGATTCCCAACATCCTGTTCGCTTTTTTGGCTGCCACTGCACATTGAGTGAATGTTTGCAGAGAACTCTCCACAAGGACTCCAAGATCTCTTTCTTGAGTGGCAACAGCTAATTTAGACCCCTCATTTTATACATGTAGTTGGGATTATATTTTCCCATGTGCATTATTTTGCATTTATCAACATTGAATTTCATCTGCCATTTTGTTGCCCAGACACCCAGTTTTGAGAGATCCTTTTGTAGCTCTTCGCAGTCTGCCTGGGACTTAACTATCTTGAGTAGTTTTGTATCATCTGCAAAATTTGCCACCTCACTGTTTACCCCTTTTTCCAGATTGTTTATGAATAAGTTGAATAGGACTGGT